GCATCCATCCAGGTCCGGGTGTCCGCGAGCCCCGCCCGCCGCGCCAGGCCCGCCCTCCTGGCTCCGGCCCGGGCCCTCCCGGAGCTATTTTGAAAGTGACCCTGGGCTCGGGCGCCCGGGCGCGCGGAGAGGGCGCGGCGAGCAGCGGGAACCATGACAGAAGATGACCGAGGCGGCGCTGGTGGAGGGCCAGGTCAAGCTGCGGGACGGCAAGAAGGTCGGGGCGCGGCGGGGGCGCGGGGCGGGGTGCGCGCGGGCGGCCGCTCACGCTGTGCTTGTCCCCGCAGTGGAAGACTAGGTGGCTGGTGCTGCGCAAGCCGTCTCCGGTGGCAGGTGAGCGGGCGGCGGGCGGGGGGGACCCTGCGGGCCCTGCAGCCCCGGGCCCAGGTGCCAGGTCGCCCGAAATAGCCGCGGGGGAGCCGCTGAAACCCGGCCGCGATGGGTAACCGGAGACCCGAGCCGCTCGGGACGCGCCCGGACCCGGCAACCTCCCGCGTAGCTCCTCACCCAAAGTCCGGGTCCCCCAGCTCCCGGGGCGGCCAACCCCTTTTCCAGAACAGACGGGGACCCAGAGGGGCTGCAGCCTCCCCATGGAGCGGGAGGCAGACCCCGAGAAGTTAACCCTCCTGTGAGCTTCAGGGACCGAGGTGTCTGCTGAAAATTCTAGCAGCAGCCTCCGGCATCCCAAGCAGTGCCACCTCCTCCTCATCCTACTCTCTCAAGTGGGGCGGAGGTGGGCTGCCAGGTGGGAAAATGTTTCTATGTCCCAGAAAAGTGACATGAACCTTGTTTAGGGGAGACTGACCTCTGGGAAGAGACACTGGTCCTGTGGCCAACACCCCCAGAGCCGGTGAGACCCATCAAGGAGCCAGGGCAGTTGGTCAGCTCCAGTCTGGGACCTGGGGTAGTGGGGAGGGCCGAGCCCAGGACTGCAGCTGTTGCCAGGGACAGGTGCCTTGGAGCTGGCCCAGGACCCAGGGGTCTGTAACAGAAGTTGGGTGGGGGCATATGCATGGCAGCCACACAGATCACAGGCAGCCAGAGTGACTTCCAGGATGCTGGGTGTCTGTCAGCTCCCAGGAGGGGTGGCATGGTGAGCTCGCTGCTGTCGTGGACAGTCATTTCCTGCCTGGGCCTCAGCTCCCTCATGCCCGGATGCTGTGTGTGTCAGGGCCTGTGAGTCCCTGTGCCTGGAAGTCTAGGGTGTCTAGGGGAGGAGGATTAGGGACTGGGGCAGGGAAGGGGCCCTGGGCACTGCCAAGCTTGGGGGTGTAGGGTGTAGACAGGTGAAGACCACAGTGAGTGTAAGAGGCTGTGGTCAGTGCAGTGGGACCATGGTAGGATGACCCCTGTGCGGAAAGAATGGCTGGTGAGGAGTCATGGGAGACTCCTGAGACAGGGGCCATCCGGAAGAGCATCCTGGGGTGTGGTCACTGACTCTGCCAGCACCAAGGGTTCTCCATGTTCCAGGCAGTGAGCAAGCCAGAGACCCCAGTGATGGGACTGGGCAAGGAAGCCTGGATGACAAGCCAACCCTAGGGGTGTTCTGAAGCTGGGCTGGAGCCAGGTGGGAGGTGATGTGGGCTTGCCTCTCTGAGTGAGCCAGCAGTGGAGAGGGTGGCCCTATTTCTCTGAGCCCCTCCATCCTGAGCTGCTTGCTGCCCCACTGTCCCTTAGGCTGTGTGGTTGTCTATAGCAGCCTCTCCCTGGGCTGTACACCCCATAGCCGGCCTCTGTGGTTTGCCCCTACCATCTCCCTCTCCTGTCCTTTGCTCTTGTCCCACTGGACTCTGGGTTCTTTCCTGTACCACCCGGGTCCTCTCTCTAGTCAGAGGCCCCAATATCCCTGTGCCCTCGAGGGCCTAGACTCTGTTAATCTGGTGTGGAAGAGAAAGGAAGGGCCCTGCCTTCTTGTCCTAAGAAATTGAGGGGTCCTTGGCCTTTGAAATTGTGATTTCCATTGTGGAGGCTCACAAGAGGCAGTTGAGAGGGACCAGGAGTTTGGGGAGCAAAGAGCACCTTGCCGGCATGCCCTCTTTCCTGTTTGCACCAGCTTAACATGTCCCGTAGTAAGCTTTAGCTGGCAGAAGGGAAACAGTTTTGGTCAGAGGTTTGTTCAGCAGTGCCAGATGTTGGCGGGTGGTGATGCTCGTGGGCGAAAGTGGACAGCAGAGAAGCAGAAAGTGTAGCAGCCCCCAGCAAACACTGCCACCAGGTCACAGTGCCCTCAAAGGCCTGCTGATGTGAAGTTCTTCCTGCCAGGCCTGTCTCAGCATGAGATTTTAGGGTGGTACCCTGGGCCTGGCTGAGGATGTGTGTCTAGGTCCACTCTCTGGGCCGACGTTCAGGAGACAGGTGCTCTGGGTCCTGTTCTGGCTACGGGCTCGCTGAGACTGGGACATAGGGTCTCAGTCCACCTTCTTTCTCAGTGGTATGGTGCTCCTGACAGTGCATGGAGGGTCCTCAGAAACTGCTACACACAGCTGGGCAGCATCCTCAGAGGGACTGCAACTGTCTCAGGGTCTTCATCCAGCTCAGAAAAGCCACCAGGAGGGACCTGAGTCCTGGACCTCAGAGGAGCTGAAGTCCAGAATCCCACAGGCCCAGACATGGGAGTCAGGAGGTCTCCCGTCTAGTCTCTCTCTAGGGCCTTGCTCTCTATTTCTTCAGGCTGGGGGTCCCTAGCTCAGCACCACCCTCAGGTGTCCGGTGAGGGGTGGGACTGCCTGTCCAAGAGAGGTGCCATGAGCTCTGCCTGTAAGAGGAAGCCCCACCTTTGTGCTCATGGTGACAGCACAGTACTCAAGTCCACACACAGGGACAGGGAGCCTTGAGGCCGGAGTCCAGTGGGTACTCTGCTCAGGAACCCCTAACCTTGGAGTTGATAGCTCTGGTAATGAGGGCAGGTATGTTCCAGGAAGACTAAGATCCAGGAGAAGTGATCTGGTTCCTTCCTGAGTTGGCACCTTTGGCTTGTGGTTATCTGGGCCTCTGTCTCCTTCTGGTGGGTGCTCAGCCAGTTCTCCTCTGTCATGTGAACAGCACGGGAATCAGAGTACCTAGGTTCAAGGCTTCATTCGGCTTCTGCTGTCACCTGGACAGTCATGACTTCCTTGAACATCTTGGTCGCCAGTTGCACACTCCAGGCTGATCCCTGCCTGGTTATTCCCACAACTACCAGGAGGATAGCTAGGGAGAACAGGAGGTGGGCCATGCCTGTGTCTCCCCCACTTCCGTGGAGCAGTGGCATCCTCCTGACTCAGAGCCCAGGCCTAGGACCTTGCATTCCATTGTATGTGTCCCTGGGCTCAGGGTGACCCCAGGCTATAGCTTGCTGTCCACAGCACTGCAGCATGTACCGTCTCAAGGTCACTATGACCTCCAGGGCTGGATCCATCCTACTGGCACTGCTGGGCCTCCCCTGCATCCTGTTGTGGGTGGGACTCTCTACCTCCTCCTGGCTCCACCCTGCCTATCTCCTGTGGCCTCCAGGCCTGGTCACTCTGTCTTGCCTGTGGTGTGTCCAGCAGAGGTTGCAGCTCTGCCTGTACTGCCTGCCCTCTGCATGGCCCTGGGCCCTGGCTTTGAAGGCCTCTGTGAGCTTATGACGACTCCATGGTTATTTTTACATCTCCAGACACCTTCCAGCTGCCTGCCTGCATGGCCGCTCTGTGTCTGATGGGCTTCTCAACCTCATCTGTCCAGGGAAGACCCTGGTCCCTGCTGTACTCCTGACAGCCCTCCCCAGGCATCCTCCTGCTCCGGTCCCAGGAGCCATCCTCTGTTGTTCACGTCCCTCCTGCCCATCCATTTAGGCGGTCCCATGACTCGTGGCCCTGGGCTGGGGTAGGCTCAGGAAGTTGGCACTGAGGGGCCTCTTCTCCTTATACTCCCACTCAGCCCAGGCTCTGGGGTCTCCCTCACTGGGACGGGATGGGGTGTCCAAAGCTGTGCTATCACTCTGTGTCCGAGCTCCTTGTGGTAGTCAAGGCTTGACCAGCCTTCTGCCCTCAATGCCATTAAAGCTCCTGGGCACTGAGCCTACCTGGTCTACTTGACCCACCTGCCTGCAAATCAGTCAGTCCTCTTTCTCTCCTCCCTCTTTTAAAAATATTTTATTATTTTTATTTTATGTGTATGAGTGTATTGCCTGCATGTATGTAAGTGCACCTGGGTCATGCAGTGCTCATGGAGGTCAGAAGAGGGTGTCAGATCTCCTGGAACTGGAGTTTTGGAGAGTTGTTAGCTGCCTGGTGGGTGCTGGGAATTGAACCCAGGTCCTCTGCAAGAGCAGCCAGTGCTGTTAACCACTGAGCAATCTCTCCAGCCCCTCTCCTCCTTATATCAATCTGGTCCTTCAGGTCTCTGAGTCAGATCCCCTGACTGTTCTGTGTAAGGCATTGCTGACCTTTGGGGTTCATTTGCTTGATCACCCCGAGAAGGCCCAGGTCCACACTCAGAGGGCCCTGCCTACCATCCAGTCGCCTGTTCCTGTTCCCGGCATATGCTGTGCTGATAGTTGGCCGTGGGCTTGTCTGCCTGTTGGTCCAGGTTCATGGAGACGGGTCTGAGGTAGGGCTGCCGGGACTGCTGTGCACTTGGGCCTGCCCTTTTACCCATCATCCTGCTGCATCATGCCCAGGCTAATGGAGCCACTTCCGAGGCTGAGGAGCCGGGGGTGTCAGTGGCTCCTGCAGGCTGGTTCAGGAGCCACTTGTGCAGCACCAGGCTCCACCCTGTCCTGTTCTGATGAAAACACAGTCACAGTCCCATAGCTGGAGTTAATGTTTTGTGGCTGCAGCATGCAAACTAAGCACCATAAACTGGCGATTAGCACCAGGTGCTTGTCCTCTTGTAGGTCTTGCAGGTCTAGGGGCAAAATGTGGGGTCCGGACATCGCAGGGCCCCTCCCTGCTCCTAGTGACTCTGGGTAGCCCTGCCTGTGGCCATGCAACACCCTTCCTAGGATAACTAAGGAACTCATCCCCATCCAGACCTTCATCTTAGTCTTCCTAAATGTCACCCTTACAAGTCCCCAAGGCAGAGAGTAGCTGCTATTCAGCACTCATAGAAACAAGTCAGTGCACAGTGAGCCCTAGGGCCCTGAGCCACAGGTTGCGAGTCTGAGTCCCCAGAGGTCAGATAGATGGAGGGGTGCATCAGTGCACCTGTGATAAGGTCTTTGGGACAAATATGGGGTGCTCCTTGTGGCCCTCTAAATCAGTGAAATGTCAGACTCAACAGTACTCATAGGCAAAGTCTACCCTGGTGTGGAGATGGCACCTCTGGTCTATGGGACAGACCTGGTCCACCACTCGCTTCTGAGTGTCATCAGACACCCACACCCTTCACATGCTTCTTTGGGGCTTCTGAGTTCAGTGGCTGTGGTGGTGGCTGCTGCCCCTCTGCAGCTAAGGTGTTTGCTGCCTGGTACTCTAAGGAAAAGTTTGTTGACACCTTTCTTGACCTTATCATTGGGAACATTTTCTTTCTGAACAAAGGAGGTGACAATCTCACCATGCTATGCTGGTCCAGCTATCCCTGAAGCAGTAGGCTGTCACCAGAGGCAATCTGACCCTCTCCTGTGCTGGCCCAGATGGAGGTGGGCTGCCCTCAGAGCTTGGAACAATGAGACAAGGACACAGACAGTGACCTTGACAGCTGTGCTGAGGGATGCTGGAGTTGCAGAGGTGGAGTGGGGCATGAGGGGGACAGTTGGGGGGCTCCAGCCTAAGGGTGGCCTTTAGCTCAGCAGGTGGCAGTGTTGAGGCCTGAGAGGACAGGGTGGGTGTATGGATGGGGCTGGGGTGGCTGTTGGGTGTGCAGGGAGAGACAATGGTGCACATGGCCTCAGCGGGCAACAGCAGAAGCAGGTCACTGGCCAGGGTGCTACGACCCTCAGGCAGGTCCTCGGGGGAGGAAGGGCCTCTGCCTGGGGCTCTGGGCCCTGCCTGCCAAGGATCTGAGAGGTGAAAGGAGAGGGGCCATGGTGGGCCTCATCATCAGCGCACACTGCCAGATCCCACAGACCTGAGCAGACAGTGAAAATGGTCTGAGGCTGGAAGTGGTATGGGGTGTTTAAGCCCATACTGAGCTCCCACTGCACCTGGCATCTTCACAGCTTCCCACATGTGGTCCTCGGGGCGCTGCTGCAGGCATGGGTGGTATGTAGGAAGGTATGAACAAGGCTGTTATCAGCCATCCCCTGTCACAGATGAGGCTTCCTCAGGCCAAGTATCTGAAGACACCAAAAATGTTTCTACTGTGCCTTGCAGGATGTATTGTGACCTGTGGGAACATTCCCTCTGGTGGGAATTCCTGCCACTCTCCATGGATGTAGCTGAGCTTAGGGCTGGGGCCTCTGGAGGCAGAGGTGCCGTGACCCCTGCACCATCATGACTGAGGACTACAGGGCAGATCTGGAGGACTGAGGCTATCCTCACTCCCCCTCCCCTGCTCCTGCGACTTCCTGTGTGGACCCCTGAGTCTTCAGAGGTTGGAGACTTGGTGCTGTGATCCTCATGGGGCTATCTCCCGCCTCCTCTCCTCAGTGTAGGCCAGGGTATCCAATCCTTGGGCTACATATACCCTTGGGGTTGCCTCACATGACAGTACTTAGGGGTTTTCATTGGACCCCCAAACTTATACCCTCCTCATAGATAGGGCACCCTGGGGTCCCATTGCTGCTGGTGTGACAGCCTGGGTGCTGAGGGACCTTCTGACCAAGGTTGATGGTGGCTGCAGAGGGCAGGAAGGTATGAACAGGGCTGGTATCAGCCTACCCAGCCTCTCTGGGCAGACTTCCTAAGACCACATGGGCACAGGGATGGTTGTGTTGACTGAGTGGCACTTGGAGGGCCTGGGAGCAGAGACTCAGGCCTATCCACTGCAGCTGGGATATAGACCCGACCACATCACACAAGCTGGGCAAAAGGGGGCCAGAAGACAGGAGGCTCAGAGTGGGCCCCAAGGCCTTGGGGGGATAAATACCGGGTGAACTCCAGGCCCCAGCCACTGGTAGTGGGTTGGGTAGGCTGGGCGTGAAGAACCCTGGGTTTGCTTTGGAACCTCTTTGTACACAAGGTTTGGGGTGGGTGAGTAGTTTGCTTATAGTCATACCTCAGATCCCAGCCTCTGTTCAGTGGTGCCGTGGCCTCCTGCGGACAGTGCTGAGGGTAAGGGAAGTGGGCAGTGCAGGAGCATGCTGATGGCTTCTCTTGTGTGTCCTAACAGACTGCCTGCTGATGCTGGTCTACAAGGACAAGTCCGAGCGTTCCAAGGGCCTGCGGGAGCGCAGCAGCCTGACTCTGGAGGACATCTGTGGCCTAGAGCCTGGCCTGCCCTATGAGGGCCTGGCTCACACCCTGGCCATTGTCTGCCTGTCCCAGGCCATCATGCTGGGCTTTGACAGCCATGAGGCCATGTGTGCCTGGGACACCCGCATCCGCTATGCACTGGGAGAGGGTGAGTGGCATGGGTGTGGGGTCTGAGATGAGATTCCAGGGCCCTTCACCAATGTAGGCTGTAGAGATGAGTGAGACACCAGGGAATCCTGCTAGAAAAGGTGGAAATCAAGCCGGGCGTGGTGGCGCACGCCTTTATCCCAGCACTTGGAAGGCAGAGGCAGGTGGATCTCTGTGAGTTCAAGGTCAGCCTAGTCTAAAAAGTGAGTTCCAGGCCAGCTGGGGCTACAGAGAGACCCTGTCTCAAAAAGACCAGAAGGAGGAGGAGGAGGAAGAGGAGGAGGAGGAGGAGAAGGAGGAGGAGGAGGAGGAGGAGGAGCCAAGAAAAGGTGGAAATCAGTGGCTGCCTCAGACGATAGCCTGCTTTGCCTTGACCTATGTGCTCAAGATGCCGAATAACAGCCAGGCAGGCCCAAGGGTGGGCACCTCTGGGGGCCATGGCCCTCTGAATTCCCCAAAAATGACCCTTTCAGTTAAAAGGGGAACCTGTAGCACAATCTGGCCCCTTTAGCCATCTAGGCAAGGGCCCTCTCCAGGTTCCCATGTGTGCTGTGCCAGCGTAGAGCCCATACAGAGGGATCAGTCAGAGCCACAGGGCTCAAACTTCAGGGGCTCAAGGTAGAAGGAGAGAATTCATGCACACTATGATATGCGTTCACCTGCGCGCGCACACACACACACACACACACACACACACACACAAATAATCAGAGGACACACATTGCCCTCACATGTTGTGTTTTTAGGCATCTGAGGTATCATCTTCATTCTCACCCACCCAAGGACAGGGGAGCCTGGTAGGCCCTTAGTCCCAGGGACAGGGTGTAAATGACTCAGTGCAGATACGGGGCAGACAATGGCGGGTAGGCACTGCGCTGTGGCTCGCAGGGCTGGGCTGCTTTCTGAGGTGGGTGATCCAGGTGAAAGGGAAGAAGGGAGAGTGCTGTGGCCATGTCCTGAGGGCCTTTCAAGGCAAAGGACTGAGCTGAGGTAGTGGGAAGACCACAGGGAGACCAGTGCCCAGCTGCTTCTGAGCATGCCAGTCTCAGGCAGCACTGCCAGCCATGGCCTCCTGTGTGTCTGGGCACAGGCTAAAACATGCTGCACACACCAACATGGGGCCTTTTGAGCCTCACTTTCCCCATTTCTGAAATGGGACTGTACTGTCTGCCTTGGGGGTGGGGGAAGTTCTCTAAAGAGAGGACTCAGTGCGTAGGTCCTGCCCTAAAAGTGTTGGGGGGCGGGGCTGGTCAGCGGTCAGTCCCCTCTGAGAACTTGCTTGCCTCCAACTAAAGAAGATCCAGAAAATGGGCAGGGATGTAAGTGGGGCTCCATGGCTGGGTCCCCTCCATCCTCAGTGCTGCCTGACGTCTCATTTGCTCCTGGGTGAGTGACTGTGAAGGCAGGGTCCTGTGGGCCCATACTGTCTTTACCTGCCTCTCCCTGGGTGCTGCCTCCCCACCAGTCTTCCCCTGGTAATGCCCTTTTACCCACTCTCTGGCCCTCAGTACATAGGTTCCATGTGACGGTGGCTCCTGGCACCAAGCTGGAGAGTGGCCCGGCCACCCTCCACCTCTGCAATGACATCCTGGTTCTGGCCAGGGACGTCCCTCCAGCTGTCACGGGGCAGTGGAAGCTGTCCGACCTCCGGCGCTATGGGGCTGTGCCAAATGGATTCATCTTCGAAGGAGGGACCAGGTGTGGGTACTGTAAGTATGCTTGGGCGTGGGGGACACTGGGTACACTTGAGCTGGCTGGCCTATGCACATTGGCTTGGCCAATACCTTGGGGCCCTGATGGGAGGCTGTGGGCTGTGTCTTCATGCAGCAGGGTTGCAACTGCTCTGCAGGAGGAAAGCTGAGCATGGTGCTCAGCACTGAGCCCAGACCCTGGCTGCTCCTGGGATTGGGAGAGATCCAGGGCAGCTCCAGAGCACGGCCCAGTGTCACAGCATGGCCTGCGTATGAGGCCACAGTGTCAGAGCTCCTCATGTTCAAATTGAATGAAAACAATACAAAAAAAAGTGTGTGTGTGTGAGGACACGTGAGCGCCTGGATGGGTGCCACAGGTAGAGACATGCATTTGCGAACCAAAAATGTCTCCAGACATACAAATCACCTTCACTGCTGTGCCTGCTGCCCAGAGCTGCCCAAATAGCCACATATGGAAAGGGTGGGCCTGGTCCCTGGGATGTGTGAAGGCCCCATCCAAGAGCCCCAAGGCCCATGTCACGTGGGCCTTGACTTGTATGTGAGGTGAGTGGATGGGTCAACACGTGACAGCCACGATGGGCTGGTGTCTGGTAGCCAGGGTGGTGCTTGGAGAGTAGTGAGGCCCTTCATGCCGGGAATGGGGTGTCCCAGCGACCCCCATACTGTTTTCTAAGGGGGCTTCGGACATGGTGGGGAACAAACCTGCAGTTGTTTCAGGAGGGAACAAAGTCCTCCTCCCCTCTTCAGAAGCCGGCTGTTTGCTTATCTGTGCTATTTGCTAAGGTGCTCGATCTCTGGCAACCAGGCCTCTTGTGGAGCTAAGATACCCATGGTTAGGTGCTGAGTCTGGGGTGTGACATTGTTAAGCGACCCAGATGTGAGTGGGGGAAGGGAATCCCAGGTCAGACAGCTGGGACTCCTGTGACTCTTCTCCACCTTTCCTTGTCGGGGTGGAACCCCAGGCTGTGCTGGGGCATGAAGAGGGTATGTGATATTAATGGTCAGGCTTAGTTCCTATCTGGTATCTTCAGGTTCAGCACGGCCAGATTGGATGTGTGTCCCTGGGCTCTGGGCATGATGCCGCCCTCTCTTTGGGCAGGTACAGAGATGTATTGTGTTGGCCACTGGCTCTCTGGGGCCCATGTTCTGCAAAGAGCCAAGTAGGGATGGGCCAAGCTGTTTGGGCACCATGCCCCAGTCTGTACTGAATACTGGGAGCAGACCCAGTGGGCTTCTGGATGGGAGACATTTCCATGGAGGTCTTTAAAGAGACAAGATGTGACCTGCAACAGTGCTTAGTGAGTGGATGCCCATGGAACTGAAGTGAGGCGCGAGTTTCTCCTGAGTCATGGGGGTAGCGTGATGTCATAGCACTCTGGAGAGCAGAGTCAAATCCCATGATGGCCGGAAGTAGGGGGATGTGCCACCCTGAGTCCTGTCTGCAGGATGGTGCTCAGTCTATTTCTTGGCTTGTCTTGGGAGCAAGGGATGACTGTGGCTAAGGCGCCGGGCTGGCCAGCGGGTTCCCTCCATCACTCAAGTGGCAGTCTTTCAGGGGTTCTTTTTTGTGGGTTCCTGGAGTCACTCTGAGTGAGCAGGGTAGAGGCCTTGTTTCTGTCAACAGAACTCTCAGGCACAGGTTAGGGGTGGCACAGACAAGCATGCCCTTCGAATCAGGCAGGGTCTTCTAGCTGGGCTGAACAGGAGGACCCATTTCCGTGGAGCCTGTTCATTTTACCTGGGGTCCAGTGTAATAGACCCCACTGCACATTTCTCCTCTGGGTCTTCAGCGTACACAGGCCTCTCTCTTGGTATGGGTGGGCTCCTTTCTGCTTGTCACCATCCCGAGCAAGCAGAAGGCTGACCTGGGTTGTTGTGCTTTCCCTGGGCCTGTGGTGAACTATTCAGGGATGGCCTGGGGCTTCTGAGCAATGTCCTGAATTAGCTCCTCACTGCAGGAAGCTGCTGGAACCACTGAACTTGGAGCCGGTGAGTCTGGGTTCTTCTTCATGGCCCTGGCACACCAGCACTGCTGGCAACTCCTCTCCATCCAGCCCTGCTTAGCCCATGGGTCACCAACAACTGGAGAACACTGTGTGGGGCAAGCAGATCCACTAGCTGGTGTTCCTGAGGCCGGGCTGGAGAGACTGACTGGGCAGAACCTATCCTCTGTCCCTCACAGGTCCCCTGGCCTCTGTTCTCCCCTGGGACAAGTTTGGCCCCTGTTCCTGCTAGTCACAGAAACTAGACACAGCCAACCAATGACTCTGATACAACATGGGACACAAGGGACATAAGGCAGGTGGACAGAAGGGGTGGCTGGAGGGTTCCTGCACTTGCCCTACATGTAGGCAGATCTAGGAGAGGAAGCACTGTCCAGTGTGGCCTGGGGAAAGCAGATATCTGGAGCTGATCACAAACAGACAGAGACATTAAAGCAACAGAAATTGGTCTGGAGCCAAGTCTCCAATAAAAGGTTCATCAGGACCTTACTCTAGGGCTCCGGGCTCTTCTTGATTTCCCCGTGTCCTGGGCTACGTCACCCCAGTCTCTGTCTTTCTCATGAGGACTGTTACTGAGGGCCACCTGGATCAGCCCATCTGCAAAGACGCTTTCTGTTTCCACATGTGAGCACATCTTTTGAGGGGTCACCATTCAACTGTGATGATTCTAGAATTGGGGTCATGTTGAGTCTGTGGCTTGGCTGTGTCTATCTTGGAGCACAGATGGCTGGGGGCAGGGCGTTATTGGAAGGTCCATTACTGGGTGTTTAGAAGTAACATTTTCTTCCTCCCCTCAAGACAGGCCCCAGCCTGGTCCTGGCCCTTTGGAACCATGTCCTGTGGTCCTGCCCTTACCAGCTCCTCAGAGAGCACAGAGAAGACCTGGTCCCCAAGGCTGCTTTCCATCTACCCAAACATGGTTTGGCTGGGTATCCCGGCTTGGTGGGGTAGAGAGGTGCTGGGGGCCATTGTCCTTGGGAAAAGCTCAGTGGTAACTGGCAGAACAGCAGCCTAGGGGAGGGTAGACCAGGAAGGGAAGGCCTGTGGGAGGAGGAGTTAGTGAGTCAGACACTGAGGATGAACAGAAGTTTCTGGAGGGGAGGACTAACTCAGAAAGTACCTTTCTCCATAACATCATGTGAACCCAGTCCTGTCCTCAGTGGGGCAGGGTCCTCAGATGCTAAGAATTCAGCAGGTAGCAGACAGTTCCATAGCCTGGTGTCAGAGCATCTTAGTGGCCATCTCTCAGGGACCATGCCCATCCTGGCCCTCAGTCAGTGGAGTCTCCTCAGAGTCCCCAGGGAGACCTGTTTAAGAGGCGTATTTCCATTCTCGGCATTGCCTCTGGCCCCAGCTGCCCCTGCTCAGGGGACTGTTGCCCTCTTTGGTAGCATGTTGCAAGTACAGGTTTGAGACCTGTGGCCGTGGGTGATTCTGACACACAAAATCAAAACATATTCTCAGGGATTCCCATGGGGATATAAGGCCTTGAGGGATACTGAGAGACTGGAGAGCTGGCCACTGGCCCAGGCCCTGCCCCAGTTGCTGAAGCCCTTGGGGCTGACCCCAACAGGCCCCAGGGTGCATATGGTCTGGAAGAGGCTGAGAGGCCTTGAAGGTTCTGGTTTCTGTCCAGATAAGAGCAGGAAGTGGAACCGCACGGCAGCTGTAGCGCGGCAGCCTGTGGTCTCCAGGCATGCCAACCAGATGGTGATGGACTGTGGGAGAGAGGTCGGGCAGCAGCGGGAAAGGCAGGGCTTCTTGCTGAGGTGGAGTGGCAGAGTGTGGGCTGGGATGAGGGCTCTGTGGTCCTGTGACGTCCTAGTGTCTTTCCAGTGCTTTGCTTGTGGGCAGTGGGGTGGGGACTACAGGCATCCTGGATGGGAGATCTGGTACAAAGGCCTTGTCCCCTGTTCCCTGCCACTCGGTGGGAGTGGAATGGCATCCATGAACTCTGGCCATTTTGGGGGATCTGTGTGGCCTCCAGAGTGGATCCTCCATTCGATGGCCCAGGCTGCGTTGGACCCCTCTGGGCCTGGAGTTGCCTGTCATGAATCTTGGGACCTGTGGTCATGACTGTGCTGCCTTTGTAGCTCCTGATGGGCTGGTTCTGGATTGACACCCAACCTTTGTAGTCACATAGCGACATTCACATATAACATGACTCTGGGCCCCTCTAGTGTCCTGGGAGGCATTTGGAACTTGAGTCACTAAAGGTCAGGCTGGCCACAGTGGGCTTCCTGGGAGCTACCCCACAGGATACTCAGAAAAGGGCACATCTCAGCACTCATGTGCCTTAATTCATAGGCCTCACCCCCTGGGACTTGTGCTGTAGCCCCATTTTGAAGATGAGGAGGCTGAGGCATGGGCTGCCATGGATGCTTGCGGTGGCAGTGGGCAGTGGCAGAGATGCTCCAGCCTTTGTGCCCCTCATCTAAGCAGTTGTCCTGAGGAGGGTAGGAGGGTGGGGGTGGGAGTGGGGTAGGCGGGGTATGTGTGGTTGTTGCTCTGTGGTCTCCATTCGTGATGTGTCAGCCCCTCTTCTTCCTCGAGGAACAAAGGCCCTCTTGGGCAGAGTGGACACTAAGCTGGGAGGCATGGAGTAGGACCAGCTGCCGAGTACTTCAGACACCGCCAGCTGCCACCGTCTGCGCCCTCTGGGGTTGGTTTGCTACATGCTATTTGTTCTGGGTAAAAGAGAATGATCTGAGGGGCAGGCACAGTGTCCTCTGTCCTCCTAGAAGGGCCACATGGCCTCTTGGAGGCCATGGATACGATGTACTCTGAATATGAGAAATTAGGTTCCTAGACAGAAACCCCCTTTCCGTGGGGGTGTCAGCCATGGTGTGTGACTTACTGTGAAGATTCAGACGACTCCTGTTGGCACTGGCCTTTGGCATCCTCATCCGTGCTGGGGAGTGTGTGTCATTTCCCACCATGCCATCTTCTCCTGCAGTGGCCCTGGGTACCTGCTGTGTGACTGAGCTGGGACTCAGAAAACACCCTTCCTGGAGTCTGGGAGGGGCTCCCTATGCCTGGCCTGGGCCTGGCTGCTCACTCTTTCTGAAGACCATGACCTCAGCTGGATCTTTGGGAAATGGAAAAAAGAGCCAGGACCCATCTTGAAGGAGGCTGGCACCTGAATAAGCTGCCGTGGTGATCAGGAACCCCTGAGGTTCAAAGGGTGGCCCAGAGGCAACGGCATGCAGAGGAAAGTGGGTTGTAGAGACCCTGGGCCTGCAGGGTATTCAGTGGGTGGATGAATGTGCTGTCACCGGCACCCAGTAACAGGAGGATGCTGGTACCTGCTGGGGCAAGTTGGGCTGTGCCCGAGGCATTTGGAAGTGTGTGTAGACCTAGGGGTCATTGTCATAGTGATCGTGAGGCCAGCCTCTGCCATAGTGATTGTAAGGGGGGCAGCCTCTGCCAGCCGCTGCGTTCTGAGCTCCTTCCGGCTCCTCATCTTCGGGTCCTCGTGTTGTCTGCGATGGTCTATTCTAGTGCTTATAGTTCTGAGGGTCAGAGGTCTGGGCAGTGCTTAGTGAAGTAGCTCATTTCTGCTCTACTAGGTACAGACCGGGTCACTCAGATGGTGGTCCTGGCTGGGTAGTCAGGAAGCCAGGACAAGGGTGGGGTCTGCAGGTGGCAGGGAGGTCACAGTTCTTCTTGGGGCTTTTTTGTCCAGCAGCATAGCCTGGGATCCTCCACATGGTGGCTGGTTCCAAGAAGGTACAAGTGGGTGCTGCCAGGCCCCTCAGTGGTCTCAGCCCAGAACTGAGAGTGTCACGTCTACAGCTTTAGATTACTCAGGAGAAGGCTGGCAGATACCAGGAAGAAGGAGGGAGCCCAGCTTCACAGGTGGGTGGCCATGTGGACAGGGAGCGGGGTGCAGTCCTGGGACAGCTGTACCGTTCCTTGGAACACAAGCAATGCTGAAAAGGCCCGCAGATGCCTTTCTGTCCACGCCTGGGCGATTTCCTCTGGCAGTAGGCACTTGGGGAGTCACTGGGGAGGTCACTGGGGGGCCACTGTTGCAAGGTGCTTGACCTGGGGTCTGGTGCCTCAGACAAATAAGGGGACGTGAGGTGGGTAAAAAACTGAGTGGTAAAAGCATTTTGGGGTGAACAGCTCGCCTCCTGAGATGGGGGTTGGGATCAGCATCAGGAAAGACAATAAAAGGTGATTCTGTGTCTTGATGGACATTCCAACTTGCCAAGGAACGTGGATGGGGAGGTGTGCCAGGTGGGACAGGCATGTTTAGAGAGCCCTGGATGGTTCCAAGAGCCTGGGTAGGTGGGGTGGACACGAGGGATAGAGGGAAAGGGAAACTGAGGATGCAGTTTTCTGGGGAGGTCTTATCCCTAGGCTCTGAGGGCCCAGTCAGACTGGCCCTTGGAAATGGGTGTCCTTCAGGGCAATAGATAGGGTGGCTTGTGGGGTTTCCGTGTGGGCACTTGGGGCCCAGGCTGGCGGTTGCTGGGCTCTCAGGTCCTGTCCAACGACTGCATCTCCTGGGGAGCATGACACTCCACAGATGCCCCATTGGAATGCAAGACCCGCTCCACTCCCTTCGGTAATGTGGTTTTTTATAGTCGGGGGACTGATTGTCCTGCAGCCTCTGCCAGCTGCCTGTAAGCTCAGGATTAGAGGCCTGGCCTTTTGTGAGAACTGGGGCCAGACTGACTGAGCCGTACACTGGGTGGGGTGGTGGATGGGAACAGGGAGCAAGCACGGGATGCTTCGTGTGAGTTGGCCGGCAGATGATAGTGAAGCCCTGGGCAGGGTTCTTGGGCAGTCCACCCCAACTCGTAGGATCCACCAGATCCACCAGGGCCTTTCTGAGCCAGTGAGCATCTCACATGGATGGGCATCTGCTCCATGCCCCACCTCCCACTTCTGGCCCATAGCAGCCCCATGTGGAACCAGCTCTGTGGTGCCTGGCAGTGTCCCGGTGGCCCCTGGTCTGGGTTTGTGTCCACCTCTTGGCTGGCACTGTGGACATTCTTGCCCTCTGTGGGCTCAGTTTGCTCATCTCTAAAGCAAGAATGTATCCCTATGCCACCTGGTTTAAGACATTACAGGAAGTTTCAGCAGTCACAAATGTAGTTATCCCATGTGCCCTGGCACGGCTGGCCAGGGGCATAGCAGCCTGTGTGTCTTGGGACTGACTGGGTCTCTAGAATCCACAGACTCATAATCAGTGAAGATGGAGTGTGGCCTGAGGCAGAACTTTTCGTGTGGGAACTGCCCTTTCCCCATCCCCTAGCCACACTGAGCTGTGCCTGCATGCTGTCCCTACCAGTCCTCCTGTGTGGACCCTGCCTGCCTTTCTTTGGGCAATGGCAGAGGCCTGGGGTAGGGAGAGATTCTTGTGTGGTGACGTGGTGCTAAGTGTCCAGCCCCATGGCCTCTGCTCAGCAGGTGGGCACAGCTAGCCTGGCCTCCCATTCACGGGCCAGGGAAGGATTTCATTCACCCTTGGCCTGAGGCCCAGTGTCTCATGGCACCTGGCCTGGGGGCGCCCTCCCTGCTGACTCATTGCCCTGGGCTTCTCCATCACAGAGGCCCTGAGTGCCTGCCCAGTCTCTGCCCAAGTGAACCTGGGCTGATTGCTTGTGGGTCCTTCCTTCTGTTGAGTGTGCAGCATACCTCAGGGGTGTGATGTCTTTACCCTGTGACTGCCAGGAATGAGAGCAGTCATTGGGTCGCTGGTGATGTGGAGGACACTGGTCAGAGTGACAGCTGGTCATTTGTGGGGTGGGCACACCACACTATGCCCACAATTGAACAAACATCCACAGGTGACTCACCACAGCCCTGGGTCAGTGATGGGTCATACTGGCATGGCAACCTGAGCTCCTTGAGACTCAAGGAACCTCCCAGATACTCCTCATTGCCCTTAGGATGGCCTTGGTGGGGAGCACTGCCTTGGTGGGGAGTACTCCCTTGGTGGGGAGCACGGCCTTGGTGGGGAGCACTCCCTCGGTGGGTGTGCTGGATCGCTTTAGCGTCAACCTGACACACCTGGTTGAGGGAGCCTCAACTGGGGAATTGCCTTCATTGGACTGGCCTGCGGCCATGTCCGGGGCACCTTCTTGATTGTTGAGTGATGTGGGAGGGCCCAGCCCACTGTGGGTGGTGCCACCCCTGGGCAGGTGGGCCTGTGTTGCATAAGAAAGCAGGCTGAGTAGGGGCCAGGGAGCAAGCCAGTAAGCAGCATTCCTCCATGGCCTGTGCTCCAGCTCCTGCCTCCAGGTTCCTGCCCTGAGTTCCTACCTTGGGCTCCCTGATGAGCTGTGACCTGGGAGATGTAAGCTAAATAAACCCTTTCCTCCCCAAGTTGGTAGTGGTCAGAGTGTTTGGTCACAGTAATGAAGAAACAAAGTAGGACAGAGGGGAGCACTGCCTTGGTGGGGAGTGCTGCCTGTGTAATGCAGGTGAACAGCAGGAAGCCTGGCATGCAGACTGTGGCCTGGCTTGCCTGTCTCCCCAGGGGAGGTGCATGCAATCTAGTGGGATGGGGAGCACTCTTGAAGGAGGGAAGTGGTCTCCGACAGTGCAGTCAGGACAGGATGCCCCTCATGGAATGCAGGGCTGCTGTGCTGTGGTTACTCAGAGAGGGGGACCTGACTGGCATTTTGGCAGAAGTTGCCTTACCGGTTCCCAAGCATTGTCAAAGGGACAGTGCCCCACTCAGCACCATGGAATCACATCATTGCAGGAGCGAGAGAATGCTGCTTTGGCCCTATTCCAGGCAGACTTGGGTGGTGTGGGTCTGGTGTCCTGGCTGCCTTGACAGGTTCTGTGAGAAGCATGCAGGGACTCTCTGGGGTGCAGAAGAGCTGTAGAGGGTTTGGGCTCTGGGGATGTGTGCTCACATTTCCTGCATATCACCACAGCCCCCCAGGCCTACTCCGGGGGGCAGGGGTTCTCAGCAACCCCTTCTGGGGCCAGCTGACCCCCGTGTCTGTCTCTGTCCTTCCTCTGCAGGGGCCGGAGTCTTCTTCTTGTGCTCAGCTGAGGGAGAGCAGATCAGCTCCCTCTTTGACTGCATCGTCCGAGGCATCTCCCCAACCAAGGGCCCATTTGGGCTTCGGCCAGTTCTCCCAGGTGTGTGTAGGGATGTGGCAGGGAAAGTGTGCTCAGCGGTCCAGGGATGGGTAGCTTGCTTTATCAGCCCAGAGAGGTGGCCTGCCCTTTCCTACCTACAGCCAAGAAGCCCAGAGCCCGCTGGCCTGGAACTACAGCACTCCATCACCATATAGCCTCGGCTCCCAAGGGGGTCAATTGATACGTCTCAGGCCTCCATGGTGTCCCTCCTCCGTGTGCCTGGACCATTGTGACACTGGGTCTTGAGGCCTTCTGGATAGGCCAGGTTAGCCACAGCTGCAAGGCCTTGGCTGTAAGAGGCCTGGGGTCCTGGAGATGGGGCAAGGAGCACCTGGCTCCAGGTCACTGGCACGTGGGCAGCTGGTCTGGCTCTGCTACTGGGTGTCAGGGTGCCCGAGCCTGGCATTCAGCCTGGAAGCTGTCTTGTGAGGTTATTTGGTATGTATGTGGGGGGGTCTCAGGATGTGTTTGGGGTAGGCCCTACTGAGTATGCCTCTTCTCTCATCCCCACCCCCTGCTTGTTCCAGGAGTTCTTGGCCAAGCATGCTGCTGGAGCTGAGGGGCTCATGGCCTGGGCCCTGAGGAGTCCAAAGCAGGCTGGGTTTCCCTGGATTCTGATGGGCTCTGAGTTGGGGCCTTGCATGGAGGATTCCCATTAAGAACAGTGTCTGTTCCATTGTCCAGGTGTGGCCACGTGCGGATGGTCAGCGCTTCCATCTGCTGTGCACTCACACGGTCACCTGGTCACGGCAGGGCACACAGAGTTGCAAGTGATGAGCCAGCCCCATGGGCACCAGGCCCTCCACACCTGCTGCCTACTCCTGGAGCAGCCAGTGAGACGGCTGCTGGGGAACATGAGGCCTCCGCTGTGGGCGGAGCCTTTCTGCCGGACAGTGCGGTCGCGCCACCTACTGGTGCCTTTCTGTTTTGCAGCTGCAGATGTAAAGGGGAGATAACAGTTGGCTACCAGTCAGGGTGTGAAGGACCATGTGTTTTTCCCAAAGACACATGTTTCTAAAGGTTCCTGGAGCATGGCCACCCCATAACTCCACCCTGCTGTGTGAGCAGCTGCTGGCAAGCCTGGGAACAGCCTGGGCCTTGGGGCACCCACTGTCCAGCATGCTTTAACTGGTTCTGGGTGCGGTGGGTGCTGGACACAGCATTGGGCAGAGGAGCCTATAGGTGCTTGTCCTGGAAGTGAGAGGTACCCTGTCACAGGCAGGGAGTGGAGTGTCTCCAGACAGAGCCATTGGTGATGGTTGGTGGGTGGTTGGGCTGATGGGGAGTCACAGATCCACTCCAAGCTGTCCTTGTCAAATCAGCTGGGAATGCTTACACAATACTGTCAAAGCCTGGGCCTGCAGATGCATTCTGCAAGCATTGAACCCCAGGTGTCCTGCCCAGGTATATGGGCCTTGGTTCATCCTGATATGCCAACCACATGGGCCCTGAGCTGGTCAGCATCTAGTTGGGGGAATTATGTTTCCCAGCCCTGTAGGGTAGACTCTGTGGGGAGGAAGGTTGCGGGCTGGTTGGGGGCTCTGTCCTCTCTGCTTAGTTCTGTGGCATTAAAGTCCCACAGTTGTGGGGAGCTCTGGGGATGCATCACTGTTGGGCAGCATCTCATCTTCCAGGCTTTCTGGTGTGCTGTTGTGCTGTGCTGTGGCCAGACCCATTGGGGCCTCAATCCTCCACATGAGGATCCAGAGCCCAAAGAAGGCAGGAGGGAGAGGGAGGGCCCAGGACTCTAGGAACCCTTGCTCTGAGGACAGCGTGTATGTTGCCCTAGTGGCCCTTTCTGACTGGGAGGGAGCGTGCTGTTGGAAGCCTGGTGTGGGCCTTTTACTAGCACATTCGTAGCTGATAAAGCCTATGGCAGCCAGGCACCCATCACAGAAGCCTCTCTCTGGGTGAATCTCCAGGGCCATCTGCTCCAAGACATTTCTGGAGGAAGGAAGGAGGCTACTCTGAGCTGGAAATGGGTGACCTGAGGCTTTTCAATGGAATAGCTTCTCTAGATGGCCCTGGCTGTCTTCAGTGAGCATGGACAGGGCCAGGGGAGCAGGTCCCCACCGCTTGCAGCCTGGCAGCCTCTCAGCTGAACGTTGACATTGCCAAGGGCTTCAGATAGGTCGTGGTGGACATGGGCAAGGGGGACCAGTGAGGCTAGCAGGTAGAATGCCTAGGAGGATAGAGTCGTAAGCCCCACGGGGCTTCCTGATTTCCAGATATGTTATCAGTGATTGTATGGTTCAGAGAGGCAGATGCTAAGAGGCCAGCAAAAGGCTCTATCCAGCTTGGGAGCTGCAGGCAGTGACAGGACTAAGGTGGCATTTTATTCAGACCAAAGCCGAACTGGGTAGGTAGGGGCAGCGTCAGGGAAAGGGGCCCACACTGGGCAGTTGGGGGTGGTTGTCCACAGAGACAAAGGCTTGGGCTTGGAGGTGGGGGGTTGTTCACAGAGGCAGAGACCTGGCCTTGACACCTGGGGGGACTGGGTAGGTGACTTGGGTATCCTGTGTTTGATGCCCAGAATTGGGACAGAGGCATGGGGAGGGGCTGGGCCTCCTAGAGGGTTACCACTTGCCTGATCCCTGTTTTGGAGCTGTCCCAGGATGCGTGTGGCTCTGAAGGGACTGGACTCACCAGATGTCCTGGTGTGGGAGTGGGGGTGTAGGTGGTGATTACCTCATTGATCCTTCTCTCTGCGCAGACCCGAGCCCTGGGGGCCCCTCAGCCTCAGAGGAGCGTGTGGCCCAGGAAGCACTAGAAACCCTGCAGCTAGAGAAGCGACTCAGCCTGCTCTCACACTCCAGCCGGCCAGGCAGTGGAGGTAGGGTCAGTGGCTGGTCTGGCCTGGGCTGCAGGGACTCTCTAAGTACTAGGCTCCCCACCCTGGGCCTGGAAGCAATCTATCTGCATGGGCTGCTAGAGGCCCTTTGCATGCTTGCTCAGTCTCCCTCCTCTCTCCTGTGCATGCAGCTGTCACCCAGCTACGCCTTTCTCAGTTATGCCGTCTCCCTCCCATTCGTTCAGTCCTTTCCAATTCATCCATCCATGCACATATGCATCTATCCATCTAATCACAGTTCTCCCTCCTGCTCATTCATTCCTTTATCAGTCATCCATCCATTGGTCCATGCATGCATCCATCCATCCGCCCATCCATCCATCCATCATCCATCATCTACCCATCCACCTATCCATCTGTCCATCCATCCATCCATCTATCTGTCCATCCATCCATCCATCATCCATCCGTCCATCTGTCCATCCATCCATCATCCATCCATCTATCCATCTGTCCATCCATCCATCCATCTATCTGTCCATCCATCCATCCATCATCCATCCGTCCATCTGTCCATCCATCCATCATCCATCCATCTGTCCATCCATCCATCATCCATCCATCCATCCGTCCATCCATCCATCCATCCGTCCATCCATCCATCCATCATCCATCCATCCATCTGTCCATCCATCCATCCATCTATCTGTCCATCCATCCATCCATCATCCATCCGTCCATCTGTCCATCCATCCATCATCCATCCATCTGTCCATCCATCCATCATCCATCCATCCATCCGTCCATCCATCCATCCATCCGTCCATCCATCCATCCATCACCAAGTGCCTACATGCTGGGGTTACGGCAAGACCTGCTCTCACAGAGCAGGTTCTGGTGGGAATGGTACAGATGGAACAAATATATCATCCATCCATCATCCATTATCCATCCATCCATCTGCCCATCCATCCATCATCCATCCATCCATCCATCCATCCATCATCCATCCATCCATCCATCCATCCATCATCCATCCATCATCCATCCATCCATCTGTCCATCCATCCATCCATCATCCATCTGTCCATCCATCTGTCCATCCATCCATTATCCATCCATCCATCTGCCCATCCATCCATCATCCATCCATCCATCCATCCATCATCCATCCATCATCCATCCATCCATCCATCATCCATCCATCCATCCATCCATCATCTATCCATCTAATCGCTGTTCTCCCTCCTGCTCATTCATTCCTTTGTCATTCATCCACACACCCATGTATCCATGCAGTCATGCATCCATGCATCAATCCATCCATCCATCCATCCATCCATCCATCCATCCATCCATCCAATCGCTGTTCTCCCGCCTGCTTGTTCATTCCTTTGTCATGCATCCATGCACCATGCATCCATGCATCCATCATCCATCCATCCACCCATCCACCCGTCCATCTGTCCATCCATCCATCCATCATCCATCATCCACCCATCCATCTGTCCATCCATCCATCCATCCATCTGTCCATCCATCCATCCATCATCCATCCATCCATCTGTCCATCCATCCATCCATCATCCATCCATCCATCCATCTATCCATCCATCCATCA